AAAAAAAAAAAAAACAAAAAAAACCAAAAACCCAAAAAACAAAAAATACACTTTGTTATTGGTGTGTTGAAGATGAAACTTAGGTCCTTGTGCATGCTAACCAGGACTGAAAGTTACACAAATAACGGGATTATTCTAAATCACCACACATCAAATAACATGTAAAATGGGAAAGTATTACTGGTTATTCAGCATCACTTTCATCTATAGATTAAAAAAAAGATATCTTTATTGTTTTGACACAGGGTCTCCCTGTGTATCCCTGGTTGGCCCAGAACACAGAGACCCACTTGCCTCTGCCTCCAGAACACTGGGATTAAAAGTACATGCCGTATAAAGTGGCATGACTGCTCCAAGGTATGGTTGAGGGGAAGGTTTTTGTTGTAGATATGAGAGAGAGTATAGCCAGAGTCATGTGGAGTAATCCAGAGCATGGAGAGAAAGTAGTACACAGAACATGACCAGTGCCCCAACAGGAGGAGTGAAGAGAAGAGTTGGAAAGGAGGACCAAGGGAGAGGGAGCCAAGAGAGAGGAAGAAAGGGGTGGAAGAGAAGGAGGCATGAGACCTAGAGCATGCAGCCAAAATGCCAGGGTTTTATGGGAATAAGAAGCTGGGGGATGAGAAGCCCATGAGCTGGAGGAGTTCAGGGTAACAGGTGGGGTGAGAAGAGCTGAGAAGAGGAGCCACAGGTACTGAGTGAGCCTGGAGACCATCACATACTTTGCTGTGCTCATAGGCACCACAGTTAACCATGTACCCCAGGTTTCTTTCGGATCTGAAATGCCAACATGCCTGTGTGGCTGCTCTCTATTGTGAAAGAACATGATTGTCTTACTCTAAGTACGACTCTTAACTTTTTCATAAAGTACATAGCAATCAGCAAAGTAAGTTGAAATTGTTAAAAAAAAAACCCAAACATAAAAAGCATAACTGAGGTTAGTCTCTATAATCTAGTCTTTTTTTTTTTAAAACTTAAAATTTACTTGGGCTTATAATTGCAATTCTCTATTTTCTTTCCTCCCTCCAAACCCTCCTTTATACCTTTGCTTGCTCTCTTTCAAATTCATGGCCTCTTTTTATATATTATTATATAATATATAAATAATAATAATAATATATATTATTAAATATAATCCACTCTGCCTGTAGAATGATTAACCTAGTCTTAAGTTATGAAATTTGAAATATAAGCCTAGAAAGTAAAAGTATCGAACAACATAAATTTATTGTTTTTGTTTTACATTTTTCCATATAATTTATTATGTTAATAACCTATCAAGATCAGTGTTGAACACTGGATTTTCTGACAAATTTAATTTCACGATAAGCACATTTAACTTCAGGTTTACTTTAAGGAAAGAACTCGAGGAGACAAGAAATATTCATTGCTTTTATAAGAATATTAAGAAACATTTACGTGAAAAAGAAAAACGACTCAATGAAAGAGCCGCAGTATCACAGCTTGAGTCACAGCTGAGAACACGAGATCTGGAACTGAAGAACGCAAGGGGCACCCTGAAGGAGGTAAACCAATTTCAAGTAAAACCTTCGGCTCTTCACTCAGTCTCGCCAATATTACTTATACCAGCCCTCTGGTGAATTAATGTGTCTATTGTACTAAATGACAGAAATATGATCTGTTGAATATCTTTTGTCAATTTACATCATCAGCCAACCTCTCATAATCATATGCTCACAAAAACTTAAAACACCGGACATGTCAGTAGGCAAGATATCATTGCATATCTATGCTAGTCATATATTTTTAATTTGTTATTATTTTTAGCTTTTCTTTTAATTTTTTTTTATTTTCAAGATTATAATATAATCAGATCATTTTCCCCCTTCCCTTTTCTATCTCCAAACTCTCCCATAAACCTCTTCCTACTCTCCTTCAAATTAATGGACTTTTTTTTCATTAATTGCTGTTACATGCACACACACACACACACACACACACACACACACACAGGAGATGTAGTTGGTTTTTCTTTGGGCCATTATCCAGCTCTCAAATAAAGACATGGAGACTTATTAATTATAAATGCTCTGCCTTAGCTTGGGCTTGTCCCACCAGCTCTTTTCACTTAATTTAACTTGTTTCTATTCATCTATGCTTTGCCTCGGGGCTTTTTACCTTTTTTCATTCTGTATGTCCTATTTTCCTGCTCCCTCTGTGTCTGTCTGTCTGGCCTCTGGAGCCTCTCTGTCATCTCCTTTTTTTCTCTCTTGAGCTTAAATTCCTCCTCCTACTTACTCTCCTTGCCTGGAGGTCCCACCTATACCTCCTCCCTTGCTATTGGCCATTCAACTTTTTATTAGATCAATCAGGTGCCTTAGGCAGGCAACGTGAAACAGCCACCTATCTTTACATAACTAAACAAATGCAACCCATCTTTACATAGTCAAACAAATATTCCACAACATAAACAAATGCAACACATCTTTACACAGTTAAACAAATATTCTACAACACATACATACACACACACATACATACATACATACATATATATGCATTTGTATATGTATATGTATATTCATATCTATCCCTAAATAGAACTGCTTAGTCTGTATAATGTTACTTGTATGCATGTTTTCAGAGCTGACTATTGGGTATTAGGTAACCAATTTTGTGTTCTCTTCTCTGAGGAAGACTGTCTCTGGCATGTTCAGTATCCTTAGTCGCCTGTAGTTCTTTGTGTAGGATTGAGGCCTCCCAGGCTTTCCTCTGTCCATGTTAGCATGTCCATTGTTGTTGTTACTGTTTAAGTCATAGGCAGTCATGTTGGTGAGAATTTCTGAGTGTGGCTCCTTGTAGTTGAAGTTTTCCTGTGTCCACCCGGCTTCTGCAGCCACTCTGACCCAAGTAAACACACAGAGACTTATATTACTTATAAACTGTATGGCTGTGGCAGGCTTCTTGCTCTGCAGTTCTTATATCTTAAACTAATCCATTTCTCTTAACCTATAAGTTGCCAAGTGGCTTGCGGCTTACTGGTACTTTACATCTTGCTTTTCATGGCTGGCAGCACCTCTTGACTCAGTCTTCTTCTTCCCAGAATTCTCCTCTCTGCTTGTCCTGCCTATAGTATACTTTCTGCCTGGCTACTGGCCAATCAGCATTTTATTTATCAATCAATCAGAGCAACACATTCACAGCATACAGAAAGACATTCCCAGCAGCTCCTGACACTACTAAGAGACACAATCTAATAAATTCTCTGATCCTCTGGCTTTCTACCCTATCTTCTGCAATGTTCCCTGAACCTTAGGTGAGGGAGTTTCTTTCTAGATGTATCTACTGGGACTGGATCCACAACTCTGCATTTTTGTTGTTGTGGTCTTCTGTAAGGGAATATATGAAAACCACAGAGATACTTGCACAGCCATGTTTATTATGACACTCATTTACAATAACTCAGATATGGAACTAGTCTAGATGTCAATAAAGAGTTGGGTGGGTAAAGAAAATGAGGTACGTACAAACTAGTAGAGTTTTATTGGGATGTGAAGAGTGAAATTGTAGAGATGGAGAGATAGCTCAGTGGTTGAGAGCACTGATTGCTCTTCCAAAAGACCCTGGTTCAATTCCCGGCACCCACATGGCACCTCACAACTGTTTGTTACTCCAGTTCCAGAGGATCTGTTGTCCTCATGCAGGTATGCATTCAGACAAAACAACAATACACATTAATACATGGTGGAATTGTATCACTTTTAGGAAAATGAATAAAACTAGAAGTCATCATGCTACGTGTAAGCCCAACTCAGGATGATAAACGCATGTTTTTCTCTAATATTCAGATTGCAGACTAGAAATAGAGGACCTGCTATGCATACACGGGGTGGAAGATATCTAAAGGGGTATCAAACAACAACACACATCACATATTTTCTCTCCTGTGGATATCTAGAGAACCTTGATGTCATAATAGAGTCCATTGGTTTCAGATTGGTCATGTTAGCCGGTGTATTGCTAATGAGCGACTCGGTCAAGGCATGCTGTTTACATTGTGCGATATCATTCATGAGTAATGACAGCATTTAAGCCGTAGATGATCAGAAATGGATAATATTATTGTTAATGAAATGAAAGTTTCACAAAATACTGGGATTATATTCTGGGGCTCTTGTTCCTATCCCATGGAAAATGCTGCTCCTTAAGAGATCAAATTTTATTACAAAACAAAATACTAACATAATATTAATGCTATCAGCAATTATGTATCACCACAGGTCATATAATCATAATCTGTGTGTATTCTACTTGAATCTGCTCAGTAACCCAGTGAGGTAGATACCATCATCATGTCTATCTCAAAGAGACTGGAAAACAGAATGTTAATGTGTTTATGAGGAAGAAACATGTAGTCATTGGTGACACTTGATGTTGAGGCATCTGTGTAGATATTGCTGTCACCCTCTGCTCTTCAGAGAAACAACTAGAAGCTGAGATGTCATGTCACTGTGGCACTTCACTGGCAGAGTTGTGGCCATTAACAGGTCTAGGAACTCTTTGTACAGTACTGATGGTGTAGCATTCAGAATCACACACACACATACACACACAGACACACACATACATCATGAGGGCCTTCCCTTTTCCCATTTCCTAAGCTATTCTATGTCTCTATGTGATAACATACAGTTTAAATTTCAGAATAATATATTTCAGTACTATAGAAATATCAAGACATGTTTTTATGATAAGAGACAATATTACTTCAAACTTTGTGAGCTGCAATACTCAGCTATCTGGGCAGTTTCAAAACTAAGGTTACCACAAACAGCATGTTCAGGAAAGAATCTAGCTGGGTTCCCCAAGACTTCAGTGCATTATCAATTAATGGCCAGATTTATGACAGAATGTTAGTAAAATTATTTTCAACCATTTTTTTTTAGTTGCAAGAAGCACAGGATCAATACATAAAAGCTCTAAAAACTGCCCAGAAGATGAAAGGTCACTTACAAAGGTATGGTTTAAAGTAGCATTTGATATGACTTGAATGTTCATATAGCAAGTAAGAGATGTGGTGGGGAAGTATGCCAGTTATGAGTTAGTATATTGCTGTGAAGCCTGGGACATGTGCTTCGAGTCACTTGAAACACAATTCAGGGTTTATGAAGTATCTCAGTGGTAGAACATATGCTCACATGGATGACAGTCTGGGTTATTACCCTAAACAATACAAAAAGATTAAAAAAAAAGAATCATGCCTAAATTTTGCACATTCTTACAAAGTAGGACTGGAAGATGACACAATTTCTAAATCACATACTTTTCAGATATGTCATAATTTCTGTAGTTTCTATTTCAGTTTTCTAAAACCATGTAGCATTGTGTACACATAATGTGTAGGATAAAGAAAGAGGAGAAGTGGAAGGGGAGCAAGGGATGTAGGGCCAGGTCAGAAGGGGAGCCAGTGGATGTGACAGGATACCTGCGACACAAAAGCAGGGTGGGGGTAAGAGGGGGAAGTCGGTCCAGCCGGGAGAAGGGATGGGGACAGTGGCTAGAGACAAGAGAGAGCAATGTTTAAGGATGTGCATATCCACAGTGTAATAAAGCCCATTACCGTGTGAGCTAAATTACAAACCATTTAAAGCTGGGTGGTCCTAAAAAATGAGTCTCTGAGAATAACCATTTGAAAACATGCATTTTTAGGATTGAACAGGAATATTCTGAGTTAAAAGTTAAAGTGAAAGAGCAAGCTAGGCAAATCGAAGAGCATCGTGGGTGCCTGCAACACTCATGTCTAAAATCGGAGCAAAGTGAAATATTGGTAGGTCCATCTCATTAATTTCTGTCATACCAAAATGCGTTTTCTTCCCTAATAACACATGGTAATATTTTAGGGAATATATTAAGTATCTCATTAAGAAGATATCTGTTGTGTTCTTATTGACTCTGCTGGCTACTCCTGTGCTTTAGTCACCACGACTTTCCACGAGAAGCTGATGTAATAGAATTGATGACTTTAGTAGCAGTTGGTTATGTCGCAGAAAGGAGTTTGGAACAAAGCTTTCCCAAGGTCATATATATGCATATAGAAAGTGTTCAGAAGAAAACAGTTGATAGCCTGTTCTTCATATACAATTCCACTATTACAAAAGGAAATAAGGTGAAGTGTACTGGTCAACATCAACTGGTGAAGGTTCACTTGATCCACCAACCTGAACAGAGACAATTACACTCCCCTTAATACCGGAATCACAATAGAACTACTTCCAGCAAAGAATTTTCAGGAGTAAAGTGCTTAAAATCACACTGTGTCCTGGCAGCTTATTAGAGAAACTTCTTACTCGAAGGGGTAATTGGGCTTTCCAAATCTTAAGGTGACCTGTATGGATGTAAACATGGAAAGGATATAAACACAGGGATTTTCTCCATAGAAACAGGCCTAGGGGGCCAGAAAGAATTATGCCCCATTCATTTCATTCAAAGAGCAGTATGTTTGTTTTATTAAGAACTGTTTTAAATGATTTTAAAATTCTTTATTTCTTCTTGGAGGTAAGGACAATGAAGATTTATTGGAATATTGAGAACAGGCTCAGGATGTGCCTCAGTCATCGAGTCTTGGTTTAGTATAGATACCAGGCCCTGGGTTCAATCCCCCCACCCTCCCTACACTGAAAAAAAAAAAACCCAGTCAACTCAAAGTTGCCTTTAAAAATCAAATCATTGAAGTCAGATAAAAGCTGTTTTTTTTTAAAGCCAGATATTTTCAGCTCTTATTCTTGAAAGCACAAATCCCCTCACTCACTGTTCTTAACCTGTCTAACTTGGGGAATCTTCTAGCAGGTGCATTTTGCTGCTTGTAGAACATTGCAACCGCAGGGAGCCTTGCAAACCTCCTTCAGTTGTCCTAGTGTCTTATTTTCTATTACTCCACCTCTTACTAACAGTGCTCATCTTCAGTCATTTACTGTCTCTACCGACTGCATTTGACCTCAAAGGGCACCACCTGTATGGTGCAACTTGTTTCTGGACCATTTCAAGGCACCCCTTTTCTCTGATAAATCATCCATAGAGTCATGACTTAAAAGAGCTTTCTTTACCATTGTTCTTGGGTCCAGATGGGGCTGCAGTAACTAGACCACAGGTGCTGTGGATATCATTCTATATAAATAAAACACTGATGGCCAGTGACCAGACAGGAAGTATAGGTGGGACAAGGAGAGAGGAGAATTGGGGAAACAGAAAGAAGGGGGGAGACACTGCAGCCACCGCCAGGACAAGCAGCATGTAAAGACGCCAGTAAGCCACCAGCCATGTGGCAAGGTATAGATTTATAAAAATGGGTTAATTTAAGATAAAAGAACAGTTAGCAAGAAGCTTGCCACGGCCATACAGTTTATAAGTATTATAAGCGTCTGAGTGATTATTTTATATGTGGATTGTGGGACTGTGGGGCTTGGTGGAAGCTGGAGAGAAGCCCTCTAGCAACACACAGGTTTAGACTGTGACCCAGAAAATAGAACTCCTCTGAATAAGCCATTTACAGCCCATGTAACCAACACTCTGCTGGACTCCTACCCCCCCACCCCCACCCCCAAGTCTACAGTAGGAAAGAGAATGCAAGGCACTGAGGGCGGCACTCATGCAGTCTTGAAACTTCTCTGAGACTGTTCCCTGGCCTTGGCGTCATGGTCCAGTTCTCTGTTATGGGGGTTCTGCCTTTCCTGAGAAACAGACTGCACTTGCAGCCAGGCATTTTCTACCTTGAGCTTCCTCTCTGCAGGACTCCCAAGGCTCAACCAAAACCTTCACTCTGTTTTAGCCTCTCCTTAACATAAGCTAGCAAGTAGAACTTTGGTTACATTTCTCTTTAGAATTTTGAGTCTATTGTAGATTTTTTTTTTTTTGTTTCAGTCATTCTAAGAGGCACCTTTATAAAAATTTTTAAACATGATTTTATATCTTTTAAATTATGTGTATTTGTGTGTTGTGTGGGTGTGTGCAAGTGAGTCTAGCACCTTTGGAGTCCAGAAGAGGGAGCCAGTTCCCTCAGAGCTCAAGTTACAGGTGTTGGTGAGCCATCCAGTATGGGCACTAGGAACTGAACTCAGGTGGGCTGCAGGAGCAAAGTGCACTCTCCATGACTGGGCCATTTCTCCAACCCCACAAATCATTTTGGATTAGCTCTTCATCATGGGCTGCCAGTGAAGCTGTATTCAAATAAAGCTTAAAGACTACTTAGGGAATGTGAAGCTTTATGAAGACATAGCAAAGGGCCTTGCATTTCTGGTCTTGGCTTACGCTTCAGGCCTTGTGTTCTCTGTGATACCCTTTATTTGGTCTTCTCTTAGAAGGCATTTATTTTAGCATTATTTGGTAACTGGGCATGTGGAAATTCTACACATTAGAAATACACATTTTCATACAGCACATCCTGGTTCTTTCCTATTTGACAGTCTGTAGCTCCTTTCTCATGACACTTTTGCTTTTGGCTGTGATGCAACAATCTTTTTCTTTTTCCGCCGATCTCTTTGAAGGGTGTGAATCTTTCGGTAAACATTATCTCATAAGCCCAAGCACCTTTTATTTCTAGTGTTTGTTTTTCAAGTCCTCAAATACTTCTTAAATTAGACTCCCCTATTATTAGTTTTGAGCTGAGTTCACAAATACTTGAATTGTCTAGTTACATGAACAGTTATGTAAGAACAGTTTCAGGAGGATCACTTAGCTCACAGTTAAGTTCTTTCCCAAGAAGATGGTTTCAATCCCCCGCCACATACATACAAATGCACAAAAATGAATGGAAATAGTTAAAATTCAGATTTATTATGATGGATATTGATATTATTTAAATTAAAAAAAATTATTTTTATTATTTTATGAGTGGTTTATTGCATGCATGCATGTATAGCAGATGCAAGCCTGGTGCCCACAGAAGCCATAAGAGTGTGTTGGATCCCCTGGAACTGGAGTTAGGAATGGTTGTGAGTCACCAAGTGAATCCTGAGGACCAAACCCAGGTCCTTTACAAGAGCAGCAAGTGATCTTAGTCACTGAGCCATCTTTCCCATCCCTGATGATAAATATTTCAAACAAGAATTTAACACTGCTATTTGAATCATTTACTCAAAAGTGAAACTATCAAATGTATAATAAATATTTGAGTATTTTCTCTAAAAATATCGTTTCAATTTGCTTTCAACTCAGGCAGGTGCTCAAGAAACTTCGGGGGAATTATGTGAGAACAGCATTTCCCCAATGAATCAGACAGGAACCCGAATCCAAAGTCTGCAGTCTGAACCCTCCCAAATGAAAACTATACAAGACTCAAATATGAGAGCCCTGAAAAGTTATGAGCAACAGTGCATAGAAGAATTAAGGATTAGCAATGCATTGTTATATGAACAATACAAGTGAGTAACACCAAAGGATTGCAGAAAAGAGAGCAACCCTGGCTTTTCTATAAGACAAAAAATTTCAGTGAAATAATCATGGAGATCAGTGGGTGCAAAAGCAAGCTAGCAAAATAGTTTTGGAAAATCATCTTAGATAGTACAATACTCATCTTCAAAATATTATTCCAGGGTAGACTAGATCATATCATCCCTTCTGATTAAATGCAATTCTCTCCATTAATATTCTGACATAGTTGTTTGAGATAAGTTAGCTTGCACTTGCCAATCAACAGAAACAGTAGAAGTCCGGGTGCTGTTTGGAAGGCTGTAATGAAACCCTAGGCTAACTACGCTTCTTGTCCACAGTCTGGGGCTTCCTAAACTAGCTTTCCTTGACTATTCCCTTAGGTGTTACCACTAATTATGGCCTATTGTCCAGTGCTTAATTTCACCCATGTTCTATACTAATGTTGAAACCAAAAGCTTAGAAATGTCTTTGAGGAGATTTCCTTTTAACCTCCTGAACTACTTGTTTACTAAATACAAGTATCCATAAAAAAACTGCTATCTTAATCATACATATTTAAGGAATATAATATGATTTTTAATAAGCTTTATTAGTGAATTTGTTATTATAACCATATATGTTAACATATCCACAATCCCATGTTGCTACCTTTTGAATTAAAGTATCTCTGTGCTGACCTTTAGGATTATAGATGTAGGGTCCTCCCAGAGGGCAGCATTTTTACCTGTGAAGTCATATGTCTGTGATGGCCTTGTCTCTACTTCTGATACTGTTTGGTATACTTAGAATTTCTCTAGAAATACAAGTAATCCTTTGGAATAACTTGAAACCTATAATTGTATGCACAGCAGACATGCTCCTACACACTTTTCAGTGTTAAGATTCTCTTTAATGAGGAAATTCTGTGCATTCTTATGGTGCCTTTAAAATACAAGGAGAAATTTATGGATAGATGAGATACATATTATGGTGTACACCCTTTCAGTCTTTACAGGAATAAGAATCTAGATGAATCCTGCACACAAGTTCGCGTCACGGTAGAGCAGGACACATCTCTGAACACATCAGAAGCCAGGTTTCCTCTTGAGAGCCCTTGTGTGGCAAGCACTTGCCCTCACAGAAACATCTTCCCATGTGAAAACATTGTTCTCCCAGGAAACCCAAGGTCTACTAATGGCTGCCTGCGAAGCTACCCAGTGATGGTACTGTCATTTCCTCTGTTTTCAGACTTGTGGTAGAATCTTTGTTTTTAATTTCTTGTATCACCAAATTGCTTATTTAGCGTGCATATTAAGTAAATGTAAAATATGTATTAATTATGATAGAAAGCAAAACATGCATTTTTCTGAAGTGTCTGTCTTTTCCCATTGGATTAAATAACTGTAATGGAACAGTGAGGTCTCAAGTGTTGTTGAAAAGCTATACTTAACATGGTTTCAAAGTGAATGTGACTGTGGGCAGACTTGGAGGCATCTGAGGACATTTCTGGGTGATTACAGCTTGATTGGTCATTATAGCACTTGAAGTGTTTCCCCACAGATTTCTAGATCTATGAACTTATCATGAGTATATTACCAGCCTCTAAACACTTCACCACATAAGGGTGTTTATAATTTAAAGTAACTTGAAGTAGCGCTTTTAATGTAGGAACTAGATGAAACGAAAACCAAAATCAACTCTTAAGAACTAGTTTTTTCCATTTTTCTTAAGCAGGAAAATATCCTTAATTGTGATTTAAGTTGAAGCATGCTTGTATCAATTTTTAAACATATATTTATGGCTCCACAGTTCTTGTTAGTATTACAATATCTATAAATAGTATAACTAAGAAAATGCTTGCGTTTCTTAAAGTAAAGGTCGCTCATGCCTCTGTATTTCACCCTCGTTTGAATGATGGGTGACAAAGATGTCAGTGATACCAATAGCCTTTAAATAAAAGCAACTATCATTCAAAATTACTTATAGTTTCTATGTCCAAGGTACTATGTAAAAGTGGATGCTGCCTCACCACTGCCCTACTTACCAGCTGTATGATTGTGTTCATCATTAAGTGTCCATGGCTGAGAATCTGAGAATGGCTTTCACATGACCGAATGGGCAAAAGAAAAGTTCAAGTATACTTGTCCCACTATGAAATATATGCCTACATTTGAGCACCTAACCCAAGAGAAATAACATAAATAGAATGCCCATTTCAATGAAATGTGAACAGACTGGAGGTAGTTTTTATTGGGCGTCACTGTTATTAGAACACCGTTTTGGCTGGTGCATACCAGCTTATAGCTCTGATGGTCTTTTCAGCATCTTAATGCACAGGAAAGGTATTTAAGCACATGTCTAATGACACCTAACACTTTTTTATGTGCTTCAGACAACAAACTTCAGGGTTCTTAGACAGCATTACAGTTAAATACCTAAAAGGAAACAAATATAACAATTGGTTACATATACAAATTATATAAGATCTTAGCTAGCTGATTTTGAAATTATTTTGTTAGTTAGGTATCATGTATTGAATACGTCTGTAAATTAAAAATATTTTATTTTATATATATGAGTGTGTTTACCTGCGTAAACACAGTGTGCTGCACCATGCATGCCTGGTGGCCCCAGACACCGGAAGAGGGTGAGTCCCTTGGAACTGGAGTTAGGAATGGTTGTGAGCTGTCATGTGGATACAGAGAACTAAAACAGGGTCCTCTGCAAAAGCAACAGAGCTCTAAGCTACTGAGCCATTTCTGTATCTGCATACTTTTTAGTGGCCTAAATATAAAAAAGTCCTTTGTATTTATTAGAAAATTTGCAGAACGTTGTTATAGGGAAAAAAAGAAAGAAAAGGAAAAGAAAACAGAAAGACTTGAAATGCCCTTGTTGACTCTCAACATTTTTCATTACCATTGTTATGACTGAAGATCTGATGTTAATGTAAAAGCTGGTGTTAGGTAATGAAAAACAGGTTTTGCTGTTGACACTGCACCCTACCAAACATTACAATTCAATGGGATGTGAGTAAGAGGGTGATGGCAAAACCGTGTGAATCAGGCACAGCTATGCTTGAATGCACTATGGAGAGGATGAGGCTTACAGCAAAGCTTACTAGCCACAGATGAAAACTAGGCACTCCCAGAGAATGCTTATAGAGAATGAGTGTGCATATCCCATTCAAGTCACACGAGGATAAAAAAATACATTGATAATAAGACAATGGTTTTCCAAAAATATAAATTACCTATTAAGTTATGCCTCAAATAAACCTGGACTACCTACAACTATTAAAATGCTACTAAGGTATGTTTTTACTAGACTGTAAATGCAACCATACTTTAATTAAAAAAAATCCTTATTAGTGAAGTCTTGCATTTTATCAAATACATTTTAGTAATTTAAAGAACAACAAAAAAGAAAAATATAAATGAATTTGAATATATAAATTTTATTATAGAAAACCATTACACACTGAAATTAACCATGTCCAGTCTACACATCTCAATGAAGCAAATATAATTTTATGCATGTATCCACCACCCAAACCAAAAAATTCATGGTAAGAGTTAACTCTTTAAAGAAAAGCCATTGAAGAGGTTATAAAGCTAATTGTTTTTCTTGTTTCAAATATATCATGGATTTTTCATGTTTTATTTATATTTTAGTGGTGGATAAGTGCATAAAAATCTACTTGATAGCAAAAGTGTAAACTCCAATATGATGGTCCACAGTTAGAGGATAGCTATTCTGACTGTATTTACTGAGATGTGTATACTTTGGGTCTGGCTAATTCTGCTGTATTTTTTACTTGTAAGGTTTTTATAATAAAGTTTTAATTAAAGTAAATCAGTAGGGGCCTGGAGAGATGGCTCAGTGGTTAAGAATACTGGCTGATCTTCCAAAGGACTCAGGTTTGATTATCAGTAACCACACGATGGCTCACAAGAATCTATAAATCCAGTCTCTGGGGATCTAAACCCTCCTCTGGCCTTCAGGGGACCTATACACACATCACAGTGCACGGACAAAAATGCAGTTAAAATATCCATACCCTTACAAATAAATACATTTGAAAAATAACTCAGTAGATAAATAAGAAGTATCCCTTAGTTTGCATCTTTCCTTGGTTGTGTTAGGTTTATCACACTTATTAGACATTTCTAAGCACATTCAGTATAGTTTTAAGAAAGAAGAATGAGTCTGCAGAGTTTTAAAGCTACTTTGTATCTTTTCTTGAAGATGGAATATGAAGAAAAATCAGTTGAAGAACTTACTGAATTAAAGCAATCTTTAAAATATAATTTGTATCAGCAGCAGAAGAAAAATGATGAAATAGAAAAGGAAATTGTTAGGTAAGATGTTAGTATTTCAAATATTGTCAACCATTCATATTAGCTATAATATTAGCTATATTTTAAATAAAACCTAAATATAAATTCATTTTTTTTAATGATTTTTCATCAGAACTGTTTTTAAGCTTGTAAGATGGCTCAACATGTAGAGGGGCTTATTGCCAGACACAACAAGCCAAGTCACATCTTGAGACCCACAGGGTAAAAGAGAAACAGCTCTCAACACACACACACACACACACACACACACACACACGAATATGAGGACAAAACAACAACAAAATAACTATCTTAAGTTTTACTTTAGAAACTGACACAATCTGAATCTTCTTCACTTCCTTGCTGAAGCAGGGTCTCATTTCATAGTCCAGGATTCTCCTGTCCCAGTTCCCCCAGTGTGACAAGCTCACATTTGTGCCATCAGAGCCTGGCTGCTTTTAGAACATGAGAATATTATGAAACGTGATATTCTCCAGCATCTTGAAAACTAGCACAGCACCATCTTTGGTTGTGATGCCTTCTCACTTCACTGACCATGACATTTTAGTTTTCATGTTATTTTTTAAATCTTTTTTTTCATGTATGATTCCATCCAACATTAAACAAGTTTAGCATATAAAGCCTTGTCATTATATCTAATAACATAAGTATCTGGCTTTAGTTTATATTTTCTTTTTTGTTATAAAATACAGCATATTATAAACTCCTTTTCCATAGATATCCCCCATGTGCTCAAGAGGTATATATGTTATTCAATTACACGTGTACACACACACACACACACACACACACACACACACACACACACACACAATAATAAATGAACAAAGAATTTTATAAAAGTATATTTTTTCATTTCTTTAGGTGAACTTCGGGTTAACGCTAATAATAAGTTGATGTTTTGTATAAGTATATGGGAATGGATAATAGTATTTATAGAAATCCTGTAAATATATATAAAGTCAATTATTTACTGCATATATTATATTAATTTTTATACTTTGTACCTATGATAATTAAAGAAAATGCTTTCAAGAAAAGTTAGATTAAATTTAGGCCATAATTTATAGATACATTTATTTCATACAATTAGAACATGCTTAAGCAATTAAGTATGTGCTGATAAAATACATTATTTGTTTGCTACATTCTTGTAGAATGAAGAAATTCTTGAAAATGGCAAAAATTGGGCATAAAATTGGAGAATGTAGTTCTCATGGAAACTCAAGAACTGGTCATTTTTGAGACATGAGGTGAGTTTAAAGATGAAAGTTCACTTATTTTTTTAAAATACAAATTGCTTTGAGCAACAAAATGACTATTTGTAAGACCATTGCAGACTGAGTGTATGGACAAAGCTTATTTTTTCTATTAAGAGTGTCTGCTGTTGACACCCTATGTCCTGAAATAATCCCAAGGGACAAGAACTCAAAACATGAGTATAAAGTCAATATTATGGAAAGGTTTATTGAGCTATATAGTTGACATAGAAATTCAACTTAGAACATCACTGTCGCTCTAAAAAATTTTTTTTATACTTTGTAGCCATCTCATACCCACTTCCTTCCTCAGCCTAAGGAAACTGCCTATACATTTTTTTTTTTTTATTTATAGACTTACTATTCTGGACATTTCAAAGGAATGGCCTCTTACAATATGTGATCTGCCTTCTCTCAAGGTCCCTTCCTATTGTAGTAGCAGTCAACACTTGATGGTTAATACTGCTGACTACTATAAGGTGTAGAGGTCCGCCTTGCCTTGTATTTACTCTGCGCAGCAACCATCCTGCTACGGAGTACATTTATGTGTTTGTAGGTACATCTGCATGTTTTCCTTTCTCTTGGATGATTACTTGTGGGTGAAGTTGCTGAGTCATGTGATCACCTGTTTTGACTTTAGAGCACGGACAGTGGCATGATGCTTTCCATACTCATACTGCCTGCACCAGCAAGACAGGAGGGATATCATTTCCCTCCATCGTTGCCAACACTTGCTTTTTATAATATTTTATAAAATCTTTTTGTATTGAAAAAGCTGCCACTACAATGATGTAAAGTGATACCGCTTGGCATTTCATTTGCATATTCATAAGAACTAATGAGATGATGTGGATTACATGTTTTGTTCATGTGCTTATTTTGCTAATTTGCATATCCTTGTTGGAGAAATGCCATTTAAAGCATTTTCCATTTTAAAAAGGGTTATCTTACAAAGTTTTATTTATATAAGTCTTTATTTATCCTAGATCTCAGCCCATTACTTGATATGTGATGTTCAAATATTTTCTTTCATTTAACTACTTGTCTTTGTAGTTTGTTGCTGAGTTTATTTCAGTCACCACAGTGTTTAACTTTCCTGAAGTCTTGCTGATCTGTTTGTTCTCCCTGCATGCTATCAAAGCAGTTATTGGCAGGTCTAGTCAGGAAGCATTATTGCTGTATTTTGTTTTAAATTGTTTATTTTTTAAATTCTTTCATTTTACTATTATATATATGTGTATATATGAGATGGAAAAATAGATTGATTGATCGACAGGTAGGTAAGTAGATAGATATATGATCGTGTGTATGAGTGTGCATTTGTGTGTGTGTGTGTGTGTGTGTGTGTGTGTGTGTGTGTGTGTAGGTACATGCGTGTATTTATGCATGCAAGGCCAGAGGAGCCAGGATGACACCTCTACTTTTTTTGTTGTTTATTTTAGACAGTTTTATCTTACTGATTATGCTGGTTTGGAATTCCACAAGTAGAATAGGCTGGCTGGCCAAGGGTCTGCTTTTGCTTCTCTTGCCCTGTGATTACAAGTGTGTGTCACTACACACGGTTTTTTTTTTTTTTTTTTTTTAATTTACATGGGTTTGGGGGTAAGACTTGGATCTTGTTTGCAAGGTATATTCATCTGGGTTCTTCAAAGGATCGGAACTGATAGAATGACTATCTATATATTAAAAAGGAATTCATTGGAGTGGGTAAGTGGCTGTGCTCTGGGTAGTCCTGTAATGGCTGTCTCCCACAGAAAGACCAAGAATCCAGTAGTTGTTCAATGCACAAGGCTGATGCTGCAACAGTACCAATCTAGTGCCCGAGTCCCAGAGGATTACAATAGAACTGCTGGTCTTCAGCCTACTTTTGAATCCTGAAGAAGTAGGTTCTAATACCAGAAAAGAAATACCCCAGCAACAGTGTAGATGAGCCTGCCAGAGAAAGTGAGGGCAAGTAAGCAAAAACAAATGCTTCCTTCTTCCATGTCCTTTTCTTTTCTTTTTTCTTTTTTTTTTTTTTTTTTTTTGGTTTTTCGAGACAGGGTTTCTCTGTGTAGCTTTACGCCTTTCCTGGAACTCATGCTGTAGCCCAGGCTGGCCTAGAACTCACAGAGATCCACCTGCCTCTGCCTCCCGAGTGCTGGGATTAAAGGCGTGCGCCACCACCGCCCGGCCCATGTCCTTTTCTATAGGTTTCCACCAGAAGCTGTGGCCCAGATTAGGGTAGGTCTTCCCACCTCAAATGATCCAAGAAAATTCCTCACAGATGTGTCTAGCTGCTTGGATTTTATTTGATGCCAGATATAGTCAATTTGACAACCAAGATTAGCCATCATACAAAGCAAATGCTTTTCTCTCTAACCTAAGGTTCCATATTTATCTCATTTTTTATACTATATTTGTAGAGAGGCCAATTTTACTTTATTTTTTGCATGTGACTTTTCAGTTCTCCCAGCATCATTTTATTTGTTAAAAGACTATTTTTAACTTTTCATTTTTTAAAAACACAAGTTGAAAGCCAATTGACAGTAAATGCAGGAGGGTGCCGATTCTCAGTTCGAATAGGATGGTCCATGTGTCTGTTTCTAAGCCAGAACAAAAATTAGAGATTTAACATTAGAATCCTTTCCCACTATGGTTGTGAATTGCTAGATACTTGCAACAATACATTCTCTGGTGGAGAATGTTGTGTTTGACTTGACTCATGTTGAAGCCTTTTGCTTTTTGCTGGGACCTATGTCTAGCGCATGCTCTATTGATATCAGGGCATGATTTGAAGTCAAGCGTAAGAAGACAGTATCTAGTTCTCCTCTTGAATCTCTTATCTGTTTTCTGTCATTCCCTTCTTCACTCTGATTTCCATTAGTTCTTTGACACAGGATCTGATAAGTCTGTGAATTGTTTCATTATGATTTACTAACTCATCTACTAACCAGTAGAATCACTGGTAGGTTTTTCCTGACTGTGTCTTACAGGTTTTTTCAATACATTTCTTTCACTGCTTAGCATTTATTGTAAACTTGGCAAAACTCAGGCTTCCTTAGGAGAAGGGCCTTTGGGCAGGCATGCATTGGTCAATGTGGGAAGGCCTGCCATTGTGGGCATCACCATTCTCCAGGCTTAGAGATTCTGGACTGCATAAATGTAGAGCAAGGCTGAGCACCAGCACATGTACATTGGCTTGTTAGTCTCTCTCTTGGCTGGTTGTAACATGACTGCTTCAGGTTTCTGCCACCTTGACCTTGTGGATGATAACTTGGTTTTTGTGATAACCCTTCCCGCTCCCCCACTCCCCAAGTGGTTTGTGTCAGCATATTTTATCATAGCAACAGGAAAGAAAACCAAAGCATCCAACAAGTCTTCCCTCTAGTCTGGTAGGAGTTTGGGGTCAGACGTATAGTATGTTTCAGAAGTGTTTATATCTCCCATTTCAATTCTTATAATTTGAATTATATGGCTCACAGCAAAGTGCTTTTGAATTATTTTTCACTTGTGAAGCAAGTGAGAACTAGACATTTAGAACCATCATAGTCACAGAATTAATGTAAACATTCATCGCCCATAAGCATGGAGAAAGGGAGCATTTTGAACTTCTGATAAAGGACTGTATCTTGTATAATTTCTAATACATCTCTTTCATTCTTCCACAATGAAGTATGCCACATAATCTGGAGAAAAAGTTTTCTTCTGGCTAGTTACTAAGGCATGGTCATTTGTTGTTCCAGATAAATTCAGAAGTCTCTTGCTCAATTGAAATCATTTGATGTAAGGCCTCATTTTCTTCCTAAAAATGAAGATACAATTTCATAGGAATTCTGGTTACCTGGCTCTTTCAAACTTTCTGCTCCCTCTTGTGTGGTGTTCCCTGAGCCTTGGTGGTAAAGAGTTGTATTATAGATGTATCCATTGGGGCTGGGCTCCGCATGATTCACTAATCTTTACAGTATGACCTATTATGTTTTTTATATATTTGGTGTCCATTTGCTATAAAGAGAAGTTTCTTTGATTAGGGTTGAGAGCTACACATATTTGTGGGTATATGGATAAGTTTTAGAATGCAGTTAAGAATTATTTTGGTTAACAAACAAACACAAATTAAAAAATAGGAACAAAAACATGATTTTGTTTGTTGTTTGTTTAAATTGATATTCTTATTTGTATTTTATTTCATTTTTATTATGTTTCAAGTTTTCTTTTGTGTGTGGTAGACACTACAAATGTGAAGGGCAGATATGGAGGAACTGGGAAATAAGTGGGGTTGGGGCGCATGACATGAAATTCCCAAAGAATCAACAAAATTATGTTTAAAAAAGAAAACAAACAAACAAACAAACAAACAAACAAACAGAGAAGTATTTTGCTCTAGAAACACGGCAGTAGTAATTCTCGCCTGAGATCCATGACCTCGCCAGCCCTGGGTAATTGGCTAGGTTTCTAGTACCAGGCGTGATTTCCCTCCTGTTGAGCAGGCCTTAAGTTCAATTAGGCAATTGCTAGTTACTAACAATGTATGAGTGCCATTGTTGCCCCTTTAGGGATATCTTGCCATGCTCTCCTGGTTGTTGTGGTTCATTGGTGTCACCCACTGATGGACAGGACTATTGTTTCCCTTCTGTGGCAGCTTGCATAGTAGTAGTTTCTGGTCCTGTGAAAGTTGTATCAGCAGGTCACTTTTAAAATTTCTTCTGAGTTTACTTTTCCTTTATCTGTCCTTGCTGACGCATCTTAGTCACTTCAAATTCCAATTTATCACCATCTGCCAGCTCTTAAACAAAGGCTGGAATTTGAACTGTGTGTTGGGTTTTTCATAGGTTTTCAGTGTGTAAGTGAGCATGGACATGTTTTAAGAACAGTGGGTGTCTTTGTTGCATTTGGGTTATATGCTTGGCGTGTAGAAGGGTTTACTAGATCCTTCCCAATGCCTGGTTGTAATTTCTTCTCTTCCACTTACTCTATGTATTTATTGTTAGACTTATATCATTTGACATTTTGTAGATCTTTCACCAGCCAGAATGAGCACTCACACCTCTGTGCATGAGGAATGCACTGAGCTCCTACACAGAGCAGGACTCACCTTTGTGCCCCATATCCAAACCTTTTGAGAAACATATGTAGGTAATTAGCTTCTTGTGTTCCAGTTTGCACAACACAAAAAGCACTAGCTGCAAGTTTGATGTAGAAGTTTCAGAAGTTCTCTCTTCCACAAGCAATATGTTTGCTTTGACATGTCTCACAAATTATTGTCTCTTGCTAAATTTTCTTCTTTCAAAAATTCTGAGGTGCAAGTGCTTGTATCTGAGAGTAAGTGGTCATGCTTGGTAAAATCTGGGGTCTCTGTCACACTGACTGCAGACAGTTACTTAAGCATGTGCCCCATAGGATTGCTGACACACAATGCTCTGCACACCTAGACTCTCTTGTTAAAACCAACTGTCTTCCGAAAGAAACAAAAAGATATGTGTAAATTTTTTTTTACATTCTGCTGTTATCCAAATCCCAAAAGATCAGCATATTGTTTATACTGTGTTATGACCAAGACAACAAATATTCCAAAGACAGCACATTCATGCACTGTCTAAAGTTCATCATTTTCTTCTTGGACACATCTCCCATGTGCAGTCATTACCAACGCTTGAACATACACATACATCCTTGCAAAGCTCCAAGTTTAGAAACCACACTTAGAGAAATATGGAGACCGAACAAGTCCCAGGTGGGTTCAGGCTCATTTTGTGATTCCTTTTTTTACTATGCCCTGAGTTGGCCTCATCAATGCTGATGCTATGGAAATCTTTTCATCGATTTCTCCTAAAAAAATAATTACCTCACCAATCTTAACAATACATCATTCCTTTGCAGTTTTTGTTACTGTTTAAAAATCTGCTTTTCAACAGTGTTTTCCTATTTGCTCTTTCACAGGAATGTGTAGACTTTGTCACACCACTGGGTAGACAGATACTCCATTCCTCCACCATGGATACAGGACTCAATGTGGCAGTCTTGATGTGTTATAGAGACATCTCCTGGGACCACACCATCTGCACTGAACATCTAGCTAACTTCTCTAACCACAGCCTTGGAAACTTGGCCCCTAATCCAGATACCATCTACCAGCAAAGATGACAAAGCACTGCCCTTAATTAGATTTTTAATTAAACAGTGAATTTTTATTTCAAAAACCACCATCTTGCTACTTGATTATTTGTTTTCCTTTCTTCTTTTTTTGTTTTCTATTTGAGATCAAGATTTTTTATTGTTTTGTTTGCTTTTTCATTTATGTTTATGCTTTCTCCTTATTCTTTTGAAATCACCTAAGTGATTATAATGCAATTTTTTTCACTTAATAAAGTTGCTATGAGTATTTTCACTGTTTTATACCATGTCCTCAAGAAGAAAAGCAGCCATTGAATTATGTTCCCCCCACGCCCCCACAGTACATGACTTCTTTATAATGCTCAAGTGTGTTTCCCCTCCTATCCTCTTGTGACTGCTGAAAAGCCCTGAGCCCTACCATCAACCTTATCCCCTGTCCGGGACCACTTGCTAATTGCCCAGTGCCTTGAGGGAAAACCCACAGAGAATTGTGAGTTTTAGATCTGAGTTTCTGTTACTCTACGATAATTCAATTTAAAACACCTTGATTCTGATTTTCGTTTCATAAAGATGAAGAGGACCTGCATCCATGAATAAGGTCAGTATGGTGGCATTAGCTGCCTCTTTCCTTGCCCTGATAAAGTATCTAACTGGAATCAACTGAAAGTTTGTTTTTGCTTTCAGTTGAGAGGTTACAGCCCATCCCGGCAGGAAGACAAGGTAGCAGGAGTGTGGGGCAGCTTGCTATGTGGCCTCCATGATCAGGAAGCACAGAGATTACAAGTGGGACTCCATTAGAAATCTCAAGCTTCACCACTGGGGGCTGATTTCTTACAGTCAGACCATACATCAAGGCCTGCATAAGCTGAGAACCAAGTGTTCACACATGTGACCTATGGGGACATTTCATTTATAAGATATTATTTGAGCTAGTCACTGAGTTTATCATTCATCTTTTTAAAATTTATTTATTTTATAGCCTGACCACAGTTTCCACTTATTAATTGTTGATCTCAGTATCTGTGCTACTGGTATTATATTCAGGAAGTGGGCTCCTGTCCCAATGCATTCAGGGCTGTTTTCCACTTTCTCTTCTGTTAGGTTCAGTGTAAATGGATTTATGTTGAGATGTTTGATCCACTTGGACTTGAGTTTTGTGTAGGGTGACAGATAGAGATCTATTTGCATTCTTCTAAATGCCAACCTCCAGTTATCCCAGCACCATTCATTGAAGATGTTTTCTTTTTTTCCATTGTATAATTTTGGCTTCTTTGTCAAAAATCAGATGTCCATGGGTATGTGGATTTACGTCTGGATCTTTGATTCGATTCCATTGGTCCACATGTCTGTTTTTATGCCAATTCTATGCAGTTTTTATTAAGATAGCTCTGTAGTAGAACTGGAAATCAGGGATGATGATACCTCCAGAAGTTCCTTTATTATACAGGCTTTTTTTTTTTAAGCTATTCTGGATTTTTTTTGTTTTTCCAAAACTTGTTTTGTTTGACCAACAAGTCAAGTATTGTTCTTTCAAGATTGGTAAAGATTTGTATTGGGATTTTAATTGGGATTGTGTTGAATCTGTACATCACTTTTGGTAAGATTGCCATTTTTACTATGTTAATCCTACCAACCCATGAGCATGGAAGGTCTTTCCATCTTTTGACATCTTCTCCAATTCTTTCTTCAAAGACTTAAAGTTATTGTCCTACAGGTCTTTTCACTTGCTTGGCTAGAGTTACTCCAAGATATTATATATTATTTGTGGCTATTGTGAAGGGTATTGTGCTGTGGGATGTCTTTCTGTATCTTGTGAATATATGCTGTTCCCATTGGTTAGTAAATAATGCTGCATTGGCCTATGGCAGGGCAGGATGGAGCAAGGCAGGAAAATCCAAGAGAGGTACTGAAAGGAGAAAGAAGAGTGGGAAAAGTTGCTCCAAGGAGTAACATGTAACGGGATGTAATTTAAGCCACGGAACACATGGTGATACATAGACAAATAGAAATGGGTTAATATAAGATGAAAGAGCCAGTTAGCAAGAATCCTGCCACAGGCCATATAATTGGTAATTAATATAATCATCTGAATGATTATTTTATAAGCAGCTATGGGACTGTGGAGCCAGGTAGGACCAGAGAAACTTTGCTACAGTATTGTTTTACTGAATTCTTTTTCAGCCTGCTTATTGTTTGCATATAGGAGGGCTACTGATTTTTTGAGTTAATCTTGTATACAGCCACTCCACTAAATGTGTTTATCAGCTGTGTGAGTCCCCTGGCAGAACTTTTGGGGTCAATTATGTAGACTATCATATCATCAGTGAATAATGATACTTTGACTTCTTTCCAATGTGTGTCCCCTTGGTCTCCTTCAGTTGTCTTATTTCTCTAGTGAGAACTTCAAGTACTATATTGAATAGGTATGGAGAGAGTGGACAATATTGTCCTATTCTTGATTTTAGTAGAATTGCTTTGAGTTTCTCTCCATTTAATTTGATGCTGGCAATTGGCTTGCTGTATATTGCTTTTTATTATGTTTAGGTATGTCCCTTGTATACCCGATCTCTCCAAGATTTTTATCATGATGGGGTGTTGGATTTTGTCAAAGGCTTTTTAGGCATCTAATGAGATGATCATGTTTTTTTTTTAAATTTCAAATTTGTTTATATGGTGGATTACACTGATAGATTTTTGTAAGTTGGGCCTTCTCTGAATCTCTGGGATGAAGCCTACTTGGTTATGTTGGATGATCATTTTGATGTGTTCTATGGATTTGGTTTGCCAATATTTTATTGAGTATTTTTGTATCAATGTTCTTGAGTGAAATTGATCTATAATTCTTTTTCTTTGTTGGGTCTTTGTGTGGTTTGGATATCAGGGTGACTGTGGCCTCATAAAAAGAATTTGGCAATGCTCCTTCTGTTTATATTTTGTGGAATAATTTGAGGAGTATTGGTATTAGCTCTTCTTTGAAAGCCTGATAGAATTCTGTGCTAAAACCATCTTTTTTGGGGGGGGGAAGGGAGATTTTTAACGACTGCTTCTCTTTCCTTAGGGGTTATTGGCCTATTTAAATTTTTTACTTGATCTTGATTTAATTTTGTTAGGTGTTATCTGTCAAGAATTTTATTAATTTCTTTTATATTTTCCAATTTTGTGGAGTATAAGTTTTTGAAGTATGACCTAAGGGTCCATCTTTTTTTTTTTTAATTTAATCTTCTGGATCCCTTTAGATACTTTAATATTCTGCCCAATATAGATCTTCCTTTATACCTAGGGTAGAGGCCATTCTTGAGTTCAAATGTTCTTATGGTCATGTCTGACTATAGCAGGATGAATTGACTGTCTCCTTCAGGGCACGGTCCTGCAGAGGATAACCTGCCTGGAACAATGATGACCCACATCAGCTGCTCTCAGATGGTTGTTCAACCATAAGACCATAACTTTGAGCCTAAGTCATCCACTTTTATTTTCACTGTTATTTTATTGACTTACTAAACAAAGTATTGTGAAGAAGAAATGCATGCTAGGTTAAAGAGAAATGATCACCATCATAATTAAGTGAACTCATTTTAATAAATAATACTACTTGCCTCAGAGATTGAACTCTGAGACAATCAAAAGGCCCATCTCAGTGTTGCTACCTGGAAATTACAGTGGTCCATGTGTCTAATTAAATATGATCTTTACAAGGACCAAAGTTGTGGGTAAAAGCGTCTTAAGTTAGCTGTGTACCATGGACACAGGATGTGTTACCTAACTTACTACTGAACTCAGTAATGATATCAAACTGTTATCATCTGAATTCAGTAATTAATCAACAATAAGGATGTGATAGAGCATGAGTGTTAATAGGGTGCAAAGTAGGCTTCACATTACCATCTATGATGCATTCCTGCCAATGATGTGAAATCGGAAATAGTTATGATTGCTGTTGTCATGTTAGACATGTTAGACTATAGGAAATTCAAGGAACAAAGGAGAAAGCCAGATGACATCTGAAGCAAGCAGACCAAGAAATGAAAATGTGGGATATTCGTGGCGATCACAGTTAGTGCTCCCAAGAAACCATTGCCAAAGAAGAGTCTGAAGTAGACTTAAGGGGAACAATAACACAACCTTGCCCCAGGTCCTATTTTAGACAAGCTAACTACAAAGTTAGAACATCTCTGAGTCAGGAGAACCTCAAACAATTTTTTTGATTAAATATGATAATATTATTTTATTAATGTTATTCCAAAATAAATAATTCCTTTCAAGTGCACATTGAAAAATGATGAACACAGACTTAGAAATTTTGGGACAGGCTACAAAAGAGTGTACTTTTTCACTATTGTAGGTAACAGTACAATAAAAAACTTTGGGTATCTGGTTTAATTAATAAAAATAAGCCTTGTCTACACACTCAGCCCTATTAGACCCATTGGGCACGTAATGGAGGTAACAATGGCACAGGTAAAAAACTTACTCTCACTAAAGAGAACAAACAAGAATAAGCGTGTTCTAAATCACATAGTGCAAAGTGAAACGCCAGAGACAGGGAGATCTCTGGGACTGTGTTCTGTGAAGACCACCTGAGGAGGTCAGGATGTAAGCTAAGATCCAAAGGATGAGATCAACTCACGAAGCTATCCTTTGTATCTCTGTTGTGAGCCATTATGTGTATGTGTCTGATACACAGAGAAATAGAGAGGCCTTGCAATGTCCACTGATTGGAAGTAGGTGGCCAATTTCGACCACATATTTTTCTTGCTGTACATTTGAAATTAAAATTTTTCCTGGTTTTATTTGTATTAATTTACTGTGTCTAGTGTGTATGCTATGCTGTGCCTGTGTAGGTAGGACAGCATAGAAGAGTTACTCTCCTGTCTCACCAGCCCTAAAATTTGCTTGCTTTAAAATCTTTTGCAGTTACTCTCCCATGATCATTTTATACATGTCCTTGTCATAGAGTTTTATGTCAAATTGACACAAATTAGGGTCATCTAGGAAAAGGGAACCTAACTTGAGACTACTAAGACTGACTTATAGGCAAGTCTGTGGGGGAATTTTCTTGATCAATGATTGGTTAGGAGGTCCTCACCAA